TGTTCCTCTATAGGGTTGTAATCTTTAAAAGGAGGCATGGTGTTCCTCTATAGGGTTTTGTAATCTTTAAAAGGGGACATGGTGTTCCTCTATAGGGTTTGTAATCTTTAAAGGGGGGCATGGTGTTTCCTCTTAGGGTTGTAATCTTTAAAAGGAGGCATGGTGTTCCTCTATAGGGTTGTAATCTTTAAAAGGGGGCATGGTGTACCTCTATAGGGTTGTAATCTTTAAAAGGGGGCATGGTGTTCCTCTATAGGGTTGTAATCTTTAAAAGGAGGCATGGTGTTCCTCTATAGGGTTGTAATCTTTAAAAGGGGACATGGTGTTCCTCTATAGGGTTGTAATCTTTAAAAGGGGGCATGGTGTTCCTCTATAGGGTTGTAATCTTTTAAAAGGGGGCATGGTGTTCCTCTATAGGGTGTTGTAATCTTTAAAAGGAGGCATGGTGTTCCTCTATAGGGTTGTAATCTTTAAAAGGGGACATGGTGTTCCTCTGTAGGGTTGTAATCTTTAAAAGGGGGCATGGTGTTCCTCTGTAGGGTTGTAATCTTTAAAAGGGGGCATGGTGTTCCTCTATAGGGTTGTAATCTTTAAAAGGGGGCATGGTGTTCCTCTATAGGGTTGTAATCTTTAAAAGGAGGCATGGTGTTCCTCTATAGGGTTGTAATCTTTAAAAGGGGACATGGTGTTCCTCTATAGGGTTGTAATCTTTAAAAGGAGGCATGGTGTTCCTCTATAGGGTTGTAATCTTTAAAAGGAGGCATGGTGTTCCTCTATAGGGTTGTAATCTTTAAAAGGGGACATGGTGTTCCTCTATAGGGTTGTAATCTTTAAAAGGGGGCATGGTGTTCCTCTATAGGGTTGTAATCTTTAAAAGGGGACATGGTGTTCCTCTATAGGGTTGTAATCTTTAAAAGGGGGCATGGTGTACCTCTATAGGGTTGTAATCTTTAAAAGGAGACATGGTGTTCCTCTATAGGGTTGTAATCTTTAAAAGGGGGCATGGTGTTCCTCTGTAGGGTTGTAATCTTTAAAAGGGGGCATGGTGTTCCTCTATAGGGTTGTAATCTTTAAAAGGGGGCATGGTGTTCCTCTATATGGTTGTAATCTTTAAAAGGGGGCATGGTGTTCCTCTATAGGGTTGTAATCTTTAAAAGGGGGCATGGTGTTCCTCTATAGGGTTGTAATCTTTAAAAGGGGGCATGGTGTTCCTCTATATGGTTGTAATCTTTAAAAGGAGACATTGTGTTACGTCATAGCAAGGATGGGCAACTTTGATGGGGGTGGGGGCCACAACAAATCTGAACTCATCATGCATACCCACACATGCAGGCTGCGCCAGACCTAGCCTTTTGGGGGGGCCTAAGTGACATTTTGCGAGCGAAACATCTTGACATCGTTGAGAAAAAAAGTATGTTTTAGAGTTAATTTCCTGCAATTCTACACAACTTCTAAGGCTATTCACAATGATACTGGGCTGGATGCTGATAGGGGAAACTTTCTGAATGATCAGAGAAATTATAGTCAAAGCTTTTCTTTTAGGCTATTTACAGAAAAATATGTCCTGGATGCTTTGCCAGCAATGGACAACAAGAAATCCACAGGGGGCCGACCAATTGGATCCCGGTCTGCTCAAGTGTGCAGCGCCCATCATTGTTGGCTCAATAACCCTGATTTTTTTTTATTTAACATTGTTATCAGGGAATATTCCAAAAAAATATGGAAATCATCTCTTGTGCTGCCACTCCATAAGGGCGGGGATAGTAGTGATCTTAATCATTATCGCCCCATTTCAAGGCTTCCTTGTCTAGCTAAGATTCTTGAATCTTTAGTAAATGTACAACTTTGCTCTTTAAATTTTTTAAAAATCAGTCAGGGTTTAGACCTGGGCAAAACACTATTACAGCAACCACTTTAGTTGTTAATGATCTTGTCAATGCTTTAGACACTAAAATGAAATGTGTTGCTTTTGATTATGGACCTGTCAAAAGCTTTCGATACTGTTTGATCGTGCTATTTTATTGAATCGAGTTGTCCTCGATATGCCTGAGCTCTGAAGATGATCTTAGTGCCAGAACTCAGGCCATCGTGATTGACGGGGTTAAGTCTGAATTTCTTTAAGTAGATACAGGTGTTCCGCAGGGGTCAATACTAGGACCTGTTCTATTCTCTATTTATATACATGCTATTGGTCAATCTGTTAAAAATGTAAAATTTCATCTATATGCGGATGATACTATTATGTACGTAATTGCCCCGACTGCTGACCTGGCTGTGAAAAGGCTACAGCCCGTTTTGCAGCTGTACAGGAAGCCCTTACTGATTTAAAACTGGTACTTAAAATGGGCAAAACTAAATACATGTTGTTTTCAAGTTCTGGTCAGATTATCTCAGATGGATTACATCTTCACTCATCGGATGGTTCTATAATCTATCAAGTCTGTTTTCAAGTTCTGGTCAGATTATCTCAGATGGATTACATCTTCACTCATCGGATGGTTCTATAATCTAACAAGTCTGTTTTCAAGTTCTGGTCAGATTATCTCAGATGGATTACATCTTCACTCATCGGATGGTTCTATAATCTAACAAGTCTGTTTTCAAGTTCTGGTCAGATTATCTCAGATGGATTACATCTTCACTCATCGGATGGTTCTATAATCTAACAAGTCTGTTTTCAAGTTCTGGTCAGATTATCTCAGATGGATTACATCTTCACTCATCGGATGGTTCTATAATCTAACAAGTCTGTTTTCAAGTTCTGGTCAGATTATCTCAGATGGATTACATCTTCACTCATCGGATGGTTCTATAATCTAACAAGTCTGTTTTCAAGTTCTGGTCAGATTATCTCAGATGGATTACATCTTCACTCATCGGATGGTTCTATAATCTAACAAGTCTGTTTTCAAGTTCTGGTCAGATTATCTCAGATGGATTACATCTTCACTCATCGGATGGTTCTATAATCTATCAAGTCTGTTTTCAAATTCTGGTCAGATTATCTCAGATGGATTACATCTTCACTCATCGGATGGTTCTATAATCTAACAAGTCTGTTTTCAAGTTCTGGTCAGATTATCTCAGATGGATTACATCTTCACTCATCGGATGGTTCTATAATCTAACAAGTCTGTTTTCAAGTTCTGGTCAGATTATCTCAGATGGATTACATCTTCACTCATCGGATGGTTCTATAATCTAACAAGTCTGTTTTCAAGTTCTGGTCAGATTATCTCAGATGGATTACATCTTCACTCATCGGATGGTTCTATAATCTAACAAATCCCTGCATGCAAATACCTTTTTGGATTTGACAATGATTTATCGTTAAAACGAAACATACGACTGAAGCTTGTTAAGTGGGCTCTTTTTACAGAAACAGATCTTGTCTCTCTCTCTCTAGTCAGCAGGAAGCAGATTGTGCAGTCAGTCAACCTTTCTACCCGTTGTTGATTATGGTGATGCTATTTATCAAAGTGCAGCTGCCTCTCCTCTTAAACCTCTGGATGCCGTTTATCATAGCGCCCTTCGTTTTATAACAGGAGACAGTTTTTATTTTTATTACTCATCACTGTATTCTTAACCAAAACGTTGGCTGGAACTCTTTAAAAGTCACGTGACATGACATCATTACTCTCTTTTTTGTTTACTTCCTTAACATCACTGTTAAGATTTAAAATGACAAGTCATCAAACCCGTTCACAGGGTCGGTTAAATCTGGAGACTCCTTTTTGTGTCTAGAGAGTTCGGGTAAATCAGCCTTTAATTTCCTTGCACCTCACGTATGGAATGATCTACAATACACTTTCAAATTGGAGGAATTGGTGCCTCTAGGGCATTTCAGACGGTTGTTAGGGAACCTTTTTTACTGAGGAATGTGTCTGTTTTTATGATTTGTGTTTTGCTATTTGTGTATTGTTGTGTGTTTATTGTATTTTGATGTGTATTGTGGTGCTGTACAGGGCTCACCTGGAAAAGAGACCTTCGTCTCAGCATCGACTCCCTGTCAAAATAAAGGTTCAATAAAAATACAAATGATGGAGAGAAATGGAGTCTCAGGCTGGTTGCTGACTGTAGCACTAACCTCTGTGGACAACATGCTACCTGCTGAAATATATCGCAGACTGATCAATACACACTACAGAGAGATGGAGTCCAACTGAAATACATCGCAGACTGATCAATATACACTACAGAGAGATGGAGTCCAACTGAAATACACCGCAGACTGATCAAAACACATTACAGAGAGATGGAGTCCAACTGAAATACATCCCAGTACACAGAGCTACACTGTGTGTGTGTGTGTGTGTGTGTGTGTGTGTGTGTGTGTGTGTGTGTGTGTGTGTGTGTGTGTGTGTGTGTGTGTGTGTGTGTGTGTGTGTGTGTGTGTGTGTGTGTGTGTGTGTGTGTGTGTGTGTGTACAGTATGTCCATTATTCAGACAGTGTCGTAGTCCAGGAACACGTCAGCAGTATTGAGCAGTAGTGGTTGTGTCGGGGCTGTAGTGCTGCACACTGAGCTCAGTCTCTGAGACGCTGCCCTCTGCTGGTCTGGAGGAACAGCTCCGTAGCTCAGGTTCAGGTACACCTATACACACACACGCACACGCACGCGCACACGCACACGTGCGCGCGCGCACACACACACACACACACGCACACACACACACACACACGCACACACACACGCACACAAACAAACATCAATACAGGAATCAGGTTACATTTACCATTACTGAAATATTTCAAAAGAAACAATTGAGGATATGTACATTCACGTTAATACATAAATGTAGATACATCCATATAAAGCTATTTTTATTTATTTAAAAAACATAAATGTATTTATGAA